TACCTGAGAAAGCTTTGTCCCACATCGGAAAAATCTTTGAAAATTCATTTTACCCTCTCACTATATAATAGTGACTTGCTTCTCCTGTTTCTTCCATGGGCCTCTTCGACAATGGAGGCCCATCCGCAAGATGATGATTAAAAAAACTTATGTTCTTTTCATCCCCGATTAAGCCAGAAAAGCTTATGATGAACAAAAGTAATGTCTGATTGCATAATTAAAAGTTTTTTTTTTTAAACAAAATTTTGATATTGAGTTAAAGCAAGATGATGATTAAAAATCATCTTAGTAATCCTTTTCATCTTCTGAAGCCTGAAAAGCTTATTATTTAAAAACAAGTTTCTGATTGCAAAATTAAAAGCTTTTTTTTTTTAAACAAAATCTTTTGAATTTGAGTTAAACATTTTTTTTTCATTCACATTATTTATCTTTCACACAGTTTTGAGTTTTTCTTTTGTCTCTAATAGTACATGTAAAACTATTTTCTAGAAATTTTGGAAGAACAAATTTTGAAATCCGTTTTTTTTAATATACCATTGGATTTTGTTGATCTATGAACATAAAAATAACACCTTCAAATCCCAAGATAATCTATGAGGAGGATTAAAGTAAATTGCAATTTTAAAATAATATTATAAAATATTGAGATGAAAAGGCATCAAAATAATAATTTATATTGTGATTACATAGCTATAATATATGCATTATATATTAAAAAAATAACATAGTGATATATATATATATATTTTAAGCTAAGATTTCAAAACATAAAACATTTTTGATGTTTACTGTATAAAACAGTGTGTTTCATCATTTGTTTAAAGATCGGGGTAGTGGTGTTTATGAGAACAAAGCAAATTTAAATCAAATTAAACAACATAAAATAGTTATATAATTTATATACAATCACACACATTTGCGTTGAACTAAGCGGAAACAAAAAAAATAATAAAAAAGTCCAATAATAGACTAACTAATAAAACAACTATATTACGTTTGAAACAGTCAAATACTAAAGCAATATACATACACCTTAAGAGTAATAGATTTCTATCTTTATATCGACCTTCTATAACTAAAATCAGGCTTAAAAATAATTTAACATCACAACTAGTTGGTTTCGTCTAGTCTTCGGAGTTCCTGCCAATCCTATGAACCCTGACCCGGTTGTGTGGAATCGAATCCCCTCTCAAGATGCAATTATATTCAAGTCGATTACTCATTGCCGATGATTGGAGTGTGGACGACAACCATACAGTGCAACACAAAGCTTTCTTATTTTACCTAATAATTTTTTTTGTAAAATTTTCATCATCTAAATTGTCCGTTTCGGTTTAGGTTATTAACAAACTAAAACTAAAGCACAAACATAGAAGATGGAGTAAAAATAGTATGTCGTTGTTAAAAAGGTCGGTCGATGGTAACAGCATAAGTAGTACTTATATTTTATAATATTGTAGTTATCTCTTACATATCAATCTCCACGAGATCCTCTGAATAATGTGCGCTCCAGCAACCCACCATTTAAAAAAAAAAAACACTTTCATTTCATGAATAATAGATTTGCAGCTTACTGATCATAAATTCTTAGTTTTTCCGTAGTGTAATATCCACATCTTGACAATTTAGTGCCAACACTGAATTAGTGTTATGCCAAAAGAGAATAATATGAGAGCTTAAGAAACAACCTATTTTTCTTAAGTTCTAAGCTTTCTTCTTAGAAAGCAATCAGAACATTTTAAAGTCAGAACAATTAGTTTGAAATTGAATCAATGATGTGTAATTTTAGAGGTAAAACGAAAAAGAACGAGGAGAAAAAACAAAGAGAGCCACGAGTCTCGTTTAAGACTAAAAGCGAAGTTGATCATCTTGAAGATGGTTATCGATGGAGAAAATACGGCCAAAAAGGGCGTAAAAACAACATTTATCCAAGGTAATTCAATTTATTTATTTGTTTTTTATTTATTTATGCATTTGCATGTTATGGTTTCAGACAAGAAATTATTAGTGCAGTGTGTAACTTATATTTTGTAAATGCAAATGAAAACAGGAGTTACAACACAAAAGTGCAATGTGAAGAAGCGAGTTGAAAGATCTTTCCAGGATCCAACGGTTGTGACTACAACTTACGAGGGTCAACACAATCACCCGCTTCCGACTAATCTTCGGGGAAGTTCCGCCGCGGTTGCAATGTACTCCGCTGACTTCATGACTCTGAGAAGCTTCACACATGATATGTTTCGGTCATCGGCTTACACTAGCGGTGGTTCTGCGGCTGGAGCTTTGGATTACGGATATGAACAGAGTGGCTATGGTAGTGTGAATGCAACCCTAACACTCACCAAGGAAGTGAATATGAGCTCTTGAAGGAGATATTCCCTTCCATTTTCTTCAAGCAAGAGCCTTGACTGGTCATGGTTGTAAACTATTTATATATAGTACTATATACATATATTAAGAGAGAGAGAGAAAGGAATTCCAATATATATATATGCAAGTTATAATTTATAACTGAAAACAATATTATATATATATATATATATATATATATTCCAGAATCCTATAACTATTTTGGAATTCTATTGTTAGTGTGAAACGTGAAAATTCCTTTCAAGATATAATTTTAGTTAACGTTCTGTCGTTCTGATTTTATAACATATGCCCAAACTAAATGTTAGCTCGTGGGAAAAACTCATACAGCAGTGATAATGTATGTCTCTTTAACCGGCACTCCTTCCACTATCGGCGTAAGACAAGGGTGCAATGGGTGCAATGGGGACATATAGATCGTGAAAATGCTTAGGGGCTTTGGGCTGAGCCTGGAGTGAATTTAAGAAAACCAATGTAAAGAGTATATATGGAACCCTGGAATTATCAATGTAATCTTAGCTTTCACTCGGAGACTTACAGTGGAACATGGCATGTATTCAATTAGGGTGGCATTTATTTAGATACTGCTCTAGATTCGAGATGGATCGATATCGTTGTCAGCATATAAATGTAATTTCTGACTGCAACAATAACAAAATGCTGGTATGTGGACAAATTATTTGGAAGCGCATTTATGTCATATACCAAAGTTACTCAACGCATGAAAATACATTTATATCTCTCGATTATACTATGATTCAGGTGAGTATCTTAAGATCATGTGGCTCCTGAATTCTAACATGCGTGCGCCCTCCGATGTAACTTCATTTTCCTGTTTGCAAATTTATGTCGATTTTGATATTCAACTGATATGTCCAATCCCTAGCTAGTATCCATTATTCACCTTGAATATTACCAATTCAAATACAGTAGCTTTGTGGAATACATATTTCTACTTTGGAAATATAAACCACTAAAGTTTTGTGATAAATCACCTTTAAATTGAACTGGAATTTTAGTTAAATCGGTTTGAACATTCTATCATAAGAGCCATAGAATGACGTTTGACATATAATTCGTCTAATGCTCAAGTATTTTCCTACAATATGCTTTATGGAGTATGTCTTAACGCACACAAACACGAAAGGAAATCCTATATATGTTCTACATATGACCAATCTTGTAGATACTTTGACTGAGAACGAAACCGATCCACCAAAAAGGCTGCTAGAAAGTGAATGCCTATCTTGAGATTGAAAATTCGAAAACAACATTTGCTACACCAATATCTATTTACTTTTGAATATAAAAAAATGAGGAACAACAATATTATATTCTCAAGACCAATGCATGATTACGTTTTATATTGAACAGAACAAGACTAGTGAACTGCCTGTGTGAAGAAGGATGGTTTTTAACTTTTGTTAATTGTTAATGTCATCTTAGATAAAAAAAAAAATAATGGAATGAAAATGTGGTATATTATAGGATTCTAGGAGAAGTTATCTAATTCCATGTCTAACAAGGTGTCTACACATTATGTAATCCTGGTTATCCTTTTGTAATAATTATCAGATTGTTTTATCTATATAAATTTCTAAAGANGGATGGTTTTTAACTTTTGTTAATTGTTAATGTCATCTTAGATAAAAAAAAAAATAATGGAATGAAAATGTGGTATATTATAGGATTCTAGGAGAAGTTATCTAATTCCATGTCTAACAAGGTGTCTACACATTATGTAATCCTGGTTATCCTTTTGTAATAATTATCAGATTGTTTTATCTATATAAATTTCTAAAGAATATAAATAGAAAAGGAAAAGAAAATGGTCGATGGAAAGGGTATTAGAAAGTGAAGATCAAAGTTGATTCTAGTATTTGCAGGATAAAAGACATTTAAATGAAGTTGAGTTTTTGAAATCAACGAAAACTGACTTGACATGGTAAATTGATTAGCTCGAATATTATATGATATATAATATGTGTTTTGTAATGATAAATGGTTCCTTTCTCCTTATCATCAAATTCTTTACGCCATACTGCCATAGTTGCGGAAGATCTTAAAATATGCCACTTCCATAAGTGGTTATCATTAAAAAGTGTATATAGTATACATATCATATAAAATACTATAATTTTGTAATGCATTGGACAGCATAATTTCTCTTTTATTTTTTTGTTTTCTTTCTCAAAAGGTTAATTCAGATTCTTTATTTATTTTTGGTCAACGAATGCAAATTCCTCATGCAAATCAAACCAAATATTCCAACGGTTGCGCTTTGAGCAGAAGACACGTGCCCTTATCTCTTGCTTTAATTCTGTTTATACCTGAGAAAGCTTTGTCCCACATCGGAAAAATCTTTGAAAATTCATTTTACCCTCTCACTATATAATAGTGACTTGCTTCTCCTGTTTCTTCCATGGGCCTCTTCGACAATGGAGGCCCATCCGCAAGATGATGATTAAAAAAACTTATGTTCTTTTCATCCCCGATTAAGCCAGAAAAGCTTATGATGAACAAAAGNTACCTGAGAAAGCTTTGTCCCACATCGGAAAAATCTTTGAAAATTCATTTTACCCTCTCACTATATAATAGTGACTTGCTTCTCCTGTTTCTTCCATGGGCCTCTTCGACAATGGAGGCCCATCCGCAAGATGATGATTAAAAAAACTTATGTTCTTTTCATCCCCGATTAAGCCAGAAAAGCTTATGATGAACAAAAGAAATGTCTGATTGCATAATTAAAAGTTTTTTTTTTTAAACAAAATTTTGATATTGAGTTAAAGCAAGATGATGATTAAAAATCAGCTTATGATTCAAAAACAAGTTTCTGATTGCAAAATTGAAAGTTTTTTTTTTTTAAACAAAATCTTTTGATTTTGAGTTAAACATTTTTTTTTCATTCACATTATTTATCTTTCACACAGTTTTGAGTTTTTCTTTTGTCTCTCATAGTACATGTAAAACTATTTTCTAGAAATTTTGGACGAACAAATTTTGAAATCCGTTTTGTTTCTTCTTCCCCATCTCCATCATTTTATTGAGCTTCTCAAAGACTTAACTAAATCCATATATATATCTAGGTATTAGTTTATGAAGAATATTATGAATGATCATCAAAATTGCAATATATCTATCTGAAAATTTTCAAAAAATTCGTTTATCTTCAGACCATCTTTCTAATCCATCTCCCCTCTCTCTTCTTGTGAAAATTGGATGTGGGTTTGGTTGCATTTATAGACATATGGATTAATATATAGCTGTGTTTCAAAAAAAAATTGTAGTGTAATATTTAGCTAAAGAAATACATCTTTTTGTTTTGGTCAAATAGAGATATCATTTATTCTAGGAGAGTTGTTACATCCCATAACGGTTTTAGTAATTAAATTTTATAAAACCTCTTTTGTCTTGGATCTTTCTCTAATCCTGAATGTTTTTACTGTCTTCTTCTTGTGTTTCTTTTTCTTCTTCCTCTTCCTCTGGTTTTGGATCATCAATATAATGCTGATAAGCATAAGAAACAAACCCCCCATATGGCCAAAAACATTGCAATCAACTTGATCCCACTCATCTCATCTCGGAAGAACACAACAGCAAGAACAGGAACAACAGGTAAACATAGAGTGCTTATCACGTTTGAGAAGAGCGACGAAACTTCAAGAATCAAACCCACACTACCAATCTAACAAGCTTGCCACGATATCATTGAACCAATATTTACTAAAAGATAAGAGTTCTTCCCAAGTTTAAACTCTTCCATTTCTGTCCTCAACATTTTCCACCCACCACTTACAAAGAGTCCAGCCACAACTGCACAAGTAGCTACCAAAGACTGATATGTAACCATGTCCAAAATAGCCTTGAATGTGTACTTCTTTAGAATCTTTTCAAACGCATAATCTGTTAAAGAAAGCACCAGAGAATATCTAGCTGCGCTACCGATGGCACAGATGTATCCAATCACATAATTGTATTTGGATAATGAGTTTGAAGCAGAATAAGATTGAGACTCAGGCTGGATGACAAGAAGTGTAGAAGATGTGGTCAAGAGAACAAGTGAGTTAAGTATACAAGGTGTGAACTTCTGTGAGTTAAGGAAGTAAGAGAAGACAGCATTAAAAGCTAACTGAGACGCAGAGATCAAAGAGAAGGTTGAGACAGGAAGGTAGAGTAATCCAAAGGAATACAGAACACTGTGACCAGCAGCAAGCAAGCCAAGTCCAATGTAGACTAAAGAAAGTTTCAAGAAAGAAGAAGTTGTTTTCTTGGTTAAGCTATTATTAGTCTTGGAAGATGGTTCATGCTTTAGGTAATAATAGCAAGGAAGGGTTAAAGGAAACCCAACTAGCTGAACTAAGGTCTCAAGCCATATACTGTTTCCACCTTTGTCGTAGTAAAGTCTACCTAAGAGAGTGGCTATTGTCTCTCCAGATAAGACAAGAATAACGTAGAGAGACACTCTTAACCTCCATGAGTAGTTGTGACTTCTCTGTTCTGTTGAGAGTTTCCTTTCAGGTTCTGATGAACACATGAAAAAACAGAACAAGAACATAAGTACAGACAAGAACACAAGAAGCTAAGCTTTACCATAGTTTTAGTGATTACATGTGTAGGGGTTAAGCTACATACCGCCATTGACGTGAATATGCAGTTCTTGAGTTTCTGATTCTACTTCCATCATAGTAACCAGGAGAAGGAGCAATATCTCAGGGAACAAACAAAGATGATGTATCCTTAATTACTTATATATAGGCAAATTCTTATGCATAAATTATATTCATAAACAATCTTTTTATTACTTATATTAATATTAGTTAATAAAATAGTATGTATATAAATGGATATAATCTGTTCATGCTCTTACCAGAAAAAGTTAGATGCACTCTTGACATGAGCCATTTCCCCCCAATGATTTCGCATTTCATCTTTAAACTGACCAATTTTGTTTTACCTAACCGATATCATCTTGTCATTTATCTATTAATTAGCCAAGACTTTTTTAAAAAATGAAATCAAATTATCTAAAAAACGTCTCCAGCTTATATGACCCATATGAAGAAAACGTTCCACAAGAATCCAAAATAAAAGCATAGAAATTAAACAACAGTAAAATGTTTATGGTGATTATTAAAAAAAAAACTATTGACATGGAGGTGGGCTTCCCTGTGTATCTACAAGAAGAAGAGACAGCTTCACTTCCTCTGTTTCTGGTCTGTTTTCTCCACTAGTGGAAGAGAGATAAAGATTCAATGTCACTAGAAAATGAATCAGAACCCTGCTCTCAGACACATTTCTGTAACTAATCTTCAGTAAAACATTCAGTGCTACTAGAGAACATAGCTAGAGACTTGAGTGTTAAAATAAGACTCACTTTACAAGTGCAATAAGAGTGATCAATGATATGATTGGATTGGAAACATTGTTCATAATAAAGTTCTGAAAAGTCATGTTGGTAGCTGCACTTAGACCAGGAGAACTAGCACAAGTTTTTATCTTGCAATCCCTCACCACCAGCCCCTTCACATCTTTCACATTTGGATAGACCCTAGTATAGTTACTTGGATAGCAAGAAAACTTTAACAATACAAGACAGATTGACATAGGGAGAGATTTAAACTCACCTTTACTCGGACAGTGAGATTGCCTTGTCCCATGCTCACTGAAAGGCCTTCAAAAAACATCTCAACTGGATCTTAAGCTGATTCCCTTAATATAATTATTATGAATATATCAAAAAGATAATAAAAGGACCTTAGTGTGATCTCTTTGGTCATTAGCTCGAGAGCCAAAGCTAAGGACATTAACAAGAAGAACAGATCTTATGTGACTGTACAGACACTAACTAACTTGCTTATGAAGAAACAATGATTTAATCCAACTAGAAAACTATCGGCAAGGAAATTACCTTCAACATCATCAAATAAGCCACCAAACTGATAATCTGTCCCGGATAAGTTCAAACTTCGGAGCTCTTCAAAAGGATGCAGTAAAGAAAGATTCAAGAGAGCCTTTTCCGGTAGATACATGTATTCAAAAAAGGCAAGCCCATTGACTCGACCGCTAGTGAGATTACAGTTAACTCCCTCCCATTTACAGCAATCGCTAGTTGTGTCATTAGTCCAGGTCTCGAGAATATAGTCGAATGTTGGGTAGTGATGCTTTTGAAAGCCGTCTGAGGCAAGATATGTCTTGAGATTCAATAAAGCCTTCCTTTCTTCCTCGATGCAGCTTCTGTATGCATGTATCTGTCCCAACACTATTATCATCACCCATATCAAGTACACCTTCCTCTCCATTGCAAATAAGCTTCTTTTTTTTTTCGTTTAAGTAAATGACAGAAAATTCCAAGAGAAAGGACTCTGAGTTCAATGCAATTACTTCTACCTTTATAAAGTAATCAAGGTTTCTGTATGTAAGAATATAACTATACAAAAGTCAAAACCAAGTTCTACAAGAAATATTTGTACATTAAACAAAGGTCAAGTCTCTGTTTCAAATCCTATTAAACTAATTCAAAGTCTTTGCAGCAAATATTTATAACCATAAGATTATGTACGTGGCGTGGTCAGTCAGCATCGTATACTTCAAGCAAGCTTTATATAACTATATTATCATATGTTAGTCAACTAAATCATAGAAAATAAGAATTCACACCCTAAGACTTCTTGCCAGATTATACCACGAACTAATTAAAGAAATTAATCATACTTATCTTCCTGGAAAATCACAATTCTTATAGCAAGAAGCCTGTGAATAGACTTGAAGAACAGAGTTGCTATAGTAGCTTTAACTAAGTGAAACTTCTGTTTGTTTCAGTAATTAAACAGAAGAAGATCTTCAAGGTGTGTGGAAATCTCTGAGTCTCAGC